TTTAAGATCCAGTTATCCTACATCAATGACAAACTGTGTTGTACTTTTGGATTTGTTTCATAAAATAATTATATCAAACTTAATTCCCTTTGAAAGGTTACAACCCAAGCATTGAGAAAAGCAAAATTTAAGCATAAATTTAATAATCTATGATACAGAAGAGATTGATCATTTAAAAAGCTCTGTGATAGAGTTGGGATTTAATAAATTGATGACAAGATAGGAAAAGATTATGAGCTGAATGTTATGTCAACTTTAACCTTCTGAGGTTTACAAGTAAATTAGTAAAGAAATTAGTAAAGACCCTCCAATTAAGAAGGAAATGCTTGGGAGATATGAGGAAAATGGAAACTGGCATAATTGCTGTTAACATTTACTTTTTCATTTTCTTGTTTATAATAACTCCTCATCGGATGCCTAGCACATTTCTATTCAGCAACTAGATGTTGGGATGGGGGATTAAATACAGCATTAAGGGCACATGGCTATGGATTAGGGTAACTTATAAGGTACAGAGAAAGCAAAGATATAGTCACAAAGTTTTTATGACTGTAAATGATCTCCTGGAAATTTAAAATCTCATTGAGGAAATACTGTTAAAACATAGGTTAAAATATAAAATACCAATGAAATAAATGCTAAAGACAAAGGGACTTGTGTTTTCTTATAGCAATTCAAAGTAATTAGCCTCCAACTAATAAAAATAAATGAAAAAAATATATATATAAAATAAAATAAAATCGCTAAGCTCAAAAAAAATAAAAAAATAAAAACGGGTTGTGATGGTTTTTCAAAAAGTGACTAAAATTTGGACTCAAGTGTGAACCTGACAACTAAGTAAAATTTATGGCTCTAAGGGAGATGAAAGGGAAAACTTTGTAACAGGAAAAAAATGAATGCTTGGATTTCTGGTGGTGAACTGGTAAGGGACTCTTCAGGAAGAAACCTTGCCCGGTAGCATTTGCTGGTTTCCCGTGTCACCATGGGGGGAGGGCAAGGGGGTGAGAGGAATGCAGCTCCTGGGAGATGCACGCAACTGGCCTTGGGGGGGGTCAACCCAAGCAAAGCATCATGTGATGGAGAAAAAGGCACAACATCCGTGTCTTGGACACTAACAAGCAAATTCCAGGAGACAGTGAAGGACAGGGAAGTCTGGCATGCTGCAGTCTAGGGGTTTGCAAACAATCAGACATGACCGAACGACTGAACAAATGGGACACTAAGAGATGTCAGTGGACAAGTCAGTTAAGACAAGGGAAGGTAGCATCAGGGCAGCTCTTTGAAGAGGTTGCACTTAGTTCTTACTGAGTCACTAAGGTGGTCTGACGGAGAGAGGAATGGGTGATGATGGAGACGTGGTTTTTTTTTTTTTTTTGGTGTGGGGAGTGGGGAGTGGGATTAAGGAGGAGAATGTAGGGTGGAGGCAGACATTCTAGACATGGAGTCATTTAAGCAACATGAAGCAGATCTGGGTGAGAAGGAGAAAAGTGCCCAGGATGGGAAAGTTGGAGAGTGAATGGTGACACATGAAAGGCTGATAGAGGAAGAGTGGTGAGCAGGGGAAAACAGAGATTCTAATGTTTCACAGAGTTAATGGGGAGTCCAGAGACACAAGAGGAGACAGAAGGAAGAAAGTGCACATTTAGGATACCCACATGGCAGCGTCCTCAAATGGGGTCACTGAGTTTAGGGAAATCAATGAAAAGACGAGGCTTGGAGATTCTGGATTTTGAGGGCATCACCCTTTCGACAATAGAAGATAGAAAATAATAGCAGCAAAGGAAAAAAGAAGTGAGAGATAATAGATCTGAGGAAATGCAAAGAAATGAGCATTTCAGGAAGAACGATGGATGGGGTTTAAGATGCCCTTGACAGGAATTTCTCTAGGACACAGCAATGGTTTGAAAATGGTGTATCTGAATCCCAACCACTATCAGCTGGAATATCTTAAACAAGTTATTTTCCCATCTAGCCCTGAAGTGCCTCATCTGTAAAGTAATTATTTAATAAAATACCTACTATGACGTTTAAACAGGAATGTCTCGCTCATAAGTAACCACCATGTACCAGTTAGAAGCTGGAGTTATTGTGGCATCAGTAGTAATAACACAGGTAGTGTTAGCAGTAATAGTAGCAGCAGTAGTAGCATGCCACTTGTTTAGTTGCTCAGTTGTGCCTGACTCTCTTTGTGACCTCATGGACAAGAGCCCACCAGGCTCCTCTGTCCATGGGATTATCCAGGCAAGAACACTGGAATGGGTTGCTATTTCCTTCTCCAGGGACTCTTCCCCACTCAGGGGTCAAACCACCACCTCCTGCACTGGCAGGCAGATTCTTTACTGTGGAGCCACCGGGGAAGCCCCAGTACACTCATACTAAGATAATTGACATCAGAAACATCTCATGAGACTGCCACACTTTACAGAGATAAAGAACAAAATAGAAAAGTATTCATTATGGAATATAACTCAGCTATAAAAAAGAATGTATTTGAGTCAGTTCTAGTAAGGTGGATGAAACTATAACCTATTATATAGAGTGAAAGAGAAACACCAATACAGTATATTAATGCATATATATATATATATATATATATATATGGGATTTAGAAAGATGGTATCAATGATCTTAATGTAAGGCAGCAAAAGAGACACAGATGTAAAGAACAGACCTTTGGACTATGTGGGAGAAGGCAAAGGCAGGATGATTTGAGAGAATAGCACTGAAACATATATATTACCAGATGTAAAATAGTTGACCAGTGCAAGTTCAATGCATGAAGCAGGGAACTTAAAGCCAGTGTTACCCAGAGGGATGGGGTGGGGAGGGGGGTTCAGGGTGGGGAGGGGAGTTCAGGATGGGGGACACATGTGCACCCATGGGCGATTCATGTCAATGTATGGCAAAGACCACCACAATATTGTAAAGAAATTATCCTCCAATTAAAACAAGTAAGTTAATTAAAACAGAGAAAAGTATTCATTAAATAGCATACACTAAAACATAAGCATACTGATGGAAACAATGCACTTTGATATGATGACTTAAAGCTGTGAATTTGTCTGCTTACATACACAGATTAAAAGTCAGACATGGTTCTTGTAATAAACTCTAATGGAAAAAGAATGAAAATATATAGATTTATACAAATAGATATAACTGAATCCCTTTGCCATACACTGGAAACTAATATAATGTTTTATATCAAACACACTTCAATTCTAAAAAGGCAGTCATAAATTTGAGTTTTAACTCATCATGTACTATTTTTGGAAACTTTGGAAAGTTAAAATTGTGCTTCTTCATCTGTGAAATGAGCATGAACATTTATTATTTCACTGAGGTCTTATGAGAACTCAGTGATTTGATTCAGGTAAAACACTCTACACACTTCCTGAATTACATTAAGACATCAATAAATGTAAGCTAGGTGGGCTACTGCCCATGGGGTTGCAAAGAGTCAGACACAACAGAGCATACACACAAATGTAAGCTACACTATTATTTTCTACACCATAAGGTGAGTTTCTCTTAGAAAAGTCAAAACCTAAGACCAAAAGTATGTTCTTTCCAAAAGTTACTGGATCAGGAAAATAATGTCACAGAAAAGGTTGAAAATCCAAGGTTTCTAAAAACGAGTCCAACCTTGCACCAAACCATGAAGAGGAATACTTGGATTAGAGCATTCCTTTATGGTCTGTCTCCAAAGACCAAGAGCATTGAAACAGCCTTTCTGTGATATAATTTAATTATCAAGGAACATCTGCCATTTTTAATGAGAAAAAGACAAAAAAAAAAAAAGAAACTTCAAAGAAGATCAAAAGAAAAAAAATGTGTGTACTAAATCTTAGAATGCTATGAAGATAAATGATAAAAATGTGCAGAATTCCACAGAATTTCAGAAATAGGATGAAGAAAAATCTTGGTATTTAAGGAACCCATCTGTATTTGATACTGACTTTATAGGGTCCAGTCATGGTGTTTTCTTGATGAGGGCAAAAAAGGAGAGTAAAAAGCCTGGCTTAAAACTCAACATTCAAAAAACTAAATGGCATCATGGCCATTTAGTACCATCCGGTACCATCACTTCATGGAAAACAGAAGGGGAAAAGTGGGAGCAGTAACAAATTTTATTTTGGCGGGATTCAAAATCACTGCATACAGTGACTGCAGCCATGAAATTAGAAGACACTTGCTCTTTGGAAGGAAAGCTATAACAAACTTAGACATGTAAATCCATGGCTGATTCATGTCAATTTAAGGCAAAAACCACTGCAATATTGTAAAGTAATTAGCCTCCAACTAATAAAAATAAATGAAAAAAAATTCTACCATTAAAAAAAAAGCTTATTAAAAAGCAAAGATCTCACTTTGCTGACAAAGATCTGTATAGTTAAACTTATACTTTTTCCAATAGCCATGTGCAGATGTGAGAGTTGGACCATAACAAAGGCTGAGCGTCAGAGAATTGATGCTTTTGAACTGTGGTGTTGGAGAAGACTCTTGGGAGTCCCTTGAACTGCAAGGAGATCCAATGAGTCAATCCTAAAGGAAAACAACCCTAATATTCAATGGAAGGATTGATGCCACAGCTCCAATACTTGGTCACCTGATGCAAAGAACTGACTTATTGGAAAAGACACTGATGCTGGGAAAGATTGAGGGCAGGAGGAGAAGGGGGCTACAGAGGTGAGACAGTTGGATGATGTCACCAACCCAGTGGGCATAAGTTTGAGCAAACTCTAGGAGACAGTGTAGGACAGGGAAGCCTACATGCTGCAGCCCACACAGAGAGTCAAACCTGACTTAGCAAATGAACAACAATGTGGTTTCTTAGGTAACTTATAATATCGCTATTGGGAACAGAACAAACTGACATAGAAAGACCCAGCATGTCGTATCCTGCTTTTGCTAAGTGGAAATTTTCCTGACGTCAGTTCCAAAGCCACTTGCTCAATCCAGGTGTGAGCACATCACACCCTCCCCGCCTGGGCACCTACCTCTGCAGAACGGGGCTGGGAAGTCCCAGGAGGCCCCATTCCCCGGGCTGACGATGCAAGTCAGGATGGCGTGGCCCTCCAAGACATAGCCTGAGAGACAGCTGTACCGGATCTTGTCTCCTATGTTGAATCGTGTCCCGTGGAGGACTCCCTTCAGGATTTCCCCAGGATTTCCACATGTGTGACTGGGTAAAACTGTTGGGAAGAAAAAAAAAAGGAGAGAGAAAGAAACATAAGTTAAAGGAAGATTTTCTACTGACATCAGTCTATATCACAAAACATAAACCTCATTTGAATTACTTAAGTTAACAAATCTATCTTAATTTTGCCTAAAATACAAGTAGCAAAATGGATTCATGTTGTGTAAAATCTACAATTTTGTTCTCCTGTAAAAATATATGTGCATGCATGCACACTCAGTTGTGTCTGATTCTGTGCAACCCCACGGACTGTAGTCTACCAGATTCCTCTGTCCATGGGATTCGCCAGGCAAGAATACTGGAGTGGGTTGTCATTTTCTTCTCCTAAATTTATATTTATTATACACACACACACACACACACACACACACACACACACACATAATACATAATTAAGTGGATTTTGTTAAGAGGAGAAAATACAGTTCTGCTTAGATTCAATGTTCTATATGATGTCTAGATCATTTTCCTAACAATGAGATTTTAAGTCCTATAGAATCAGCAATTAGATAATATAGTGGAATATAGATAGCTGAAAAAGTGGTAATAGAAGCACATGAACGGATATGCATGCTATATTTTTCCTTATTCCTCCAGACCAGCACTGCTTGACACACACCAGTAATAAAGGTTCTATCAATGTTTGATGGATAAATAACTGAATTAAAGAATAAATTAAAAATCTCATTTGCTAATCTATCAGACTTTCATAAGCATTGTACCACTGCTATATTCAAGGCCATCTGTAAGGCTCTATGCATTTAGAGGGTCTGATTCACAACAAAGTTTTAAGTGTAGGTTCTGACAAAGCAAGTACTATCTTCATTTGCATTTCAACAAGGCAGCCTTGGTTCTAGTCTTTCCTGGCCTCCTCACTTGTCACACTGACAGCACTCTCTGCTTAATTCAACTGCCTTCCAACCAAATGGACATGATGCTGTTTCATACTCATAGGACATAATTTTGAACTTGACTGATACACCATTAAGTTGAATAGACAAAGTGGAGAATTGTTGGCTATTGTTGCCATATTTCTGGTAATATTTAGCATATCATCTGTAAATTAGCTGTTATGATGTAGAATTCAAATAAGAAAAGGATCCTACTATTTAAAAAATAAATGATTTACAAATAAAAAAATATTTCCAAATGAACAAAACTGTTCTGTTTCTGTATCTTTTTTTTTTTTTTTTGCATTGGTATAGGAGTATACTTTGCTGTATAAGTAAAATACAGAGAAGTTTTTATTTTTTCTTTGTTTTTAAACTCAGAGATAAATAGACCTTTCCCAGTGAATGGGGAGGGAATTTCATTTTTTCAAAGATTAATTTTATTTTTATATAATTTAAATACATATGAACTAAGCTATACAGAAACACTTACAAAACAAATGCCATAGTTTACATGTTTAATGTTATTGACATATTTGTGAAATTACAATTTATGTAGTCAAAGTTTGCACACATCTAGTTTCTAGAAAATAATTTCTGAAAATAGTCTACAAAAACCTGTTTGATAACATAATAGAAAATAATTCAGTATAATCTATAAGCATCTTTGTTGTCTTTTATAAAAAAGAAATTCTGTTTTTAAGTCCACATTCACTATCCCAAAAGCAATAAGTCTATTTTTAAGATGTTGTTTAAAAACAATTTTAACTCTTTGGAATTTGTCTGTGACTTTCAAAGGCAGAAAATTTCCAATTCTATCTTGGAGAATCACTTTATTTTATGCCCTGGGATATCTGTCAGTCAGCCTAAGCTAGGGTTGTTATAATCAGAGACAGTTGTGAGACATGGGCTGGCCAAAACTGTATCATCAATGGGGAGAGAAAAGGAAAGGGGGTTTGGGAGATATATAAACATGGATACTTTTGGCATTTTTCTTCCTTGCTCAGAATGAGAATTTTGATTTCAACCGATCTTATTTTAGGAAGAAAAAGTATTAACATTTTAATGTGAATAGTGTCAACCAGTGAATAGAAATTATTAAGGATGATTTAAAACATTTACTTCTAGTTGCAAACAAACACAGAAATGAAAACATGCCCATAATATTACAAAAGCATCAGTTGTTTCATTAAAACATTACAAAAATATCTTAAATTGTGAAAAATAGACACACATTATAATAGGTCTACACCAAGATACACAACTCAGACATGCAGACAATGCCAAGATATGAAAATCCAGCAGCTAGAAAAAACTAATTTAAAATAAATAAATTCAACTCTGTTGTCATTCCTGCCAATTTCATTTGAACTAATTTTTAAGCCAGTTTCCCTGAAGATACTGAAATGTCTCTGGTGTCTCCCAGAGCAATGAGGACACATTAAGTATTTAGTAAATGTTACCAAGCTGACTTGGCCCTCCATTTAGTTTGCTTTAATCATTCCTTGAAGTCATGTGCATGCTCTCGCAGATGCTTCAAGAAAGGCATTTCTACTAGGGGTGGTGGGAAGGGGCACCTAGTGCAGACACTTGTTGATGTGAAAGAACGCTGAAAGGAGCGCTTGGCATGGCTCTTTCCTCTTGTGGCAGGCTTCCATCCATCAGACCCCATGGAGCCAAGTCTGCACACCCGGGGCCTGAAACCTAGACTGTCATTCCAATTACACTCGTGGAAATCCCCTCTGCGATACTTCTGCTTTGGTGAGTACAAATGGTCACAAGTCAGTGACTTTGTGAGGCTTTCACATTAAGCCTTAGACCCAAGCATTTCAATCATTAAATGGATGCCATATCAAATTCCTTTTCGGAAGACACATAGAAACTTGCAACCAAAAATACAGTATTCATATTTATCACGAAACAGGAAAAAAGGTGAAGAGGAGCCTGCAATTCACCAGGCATGGCAGCATTTTTAGCAGGATGTGCACAATTAATGAAATTTCATTAGGGGTGTTCATATGGAAACTGGGTCCCCTAGGGTGTATGTCAGACAATTTGTTTACACTCTATTTTTCCAGGAGTCTCACTGGTGCTTAGGGAAATAAAACTTCAAATACCCACCTGAAACACAACCCTGGAAATAAAAACCAACGGTATGTGATGTGTTTGTCCACAGATTGTTTGCCCTGAACTCCCTCCTGCAACCTTCGGGAAGGAGTAGAACCACCTGATTATACTCATATTCAGGAACACTTTTAAAAGTCAGATGTTCAAGTCTTGAAACCTGTCATTTACTCTCTGGACCGACTCTCTAAGCCATGGCCATTTGGTGGGACACGAAGGTGCAGAGCAAGTAGATACTACCAAGAGCAAGGAGGGATCGTCAGGTAGCGGGATCAAGCATTTAATGCCATCCACTACCAAGCTCTCCTTGTCCACATGATGAACAACAATGCGGGGGACATGCTGTGAAAATATTATATTATTCCTGAAAAGTTACAGGATCTGGATGAGAAGAATTCAAAGAGGAGTGTGTTTTAAGTAGACTTTAAGGTGGAAAGCAGTAAGGTTTGGCCAAGGTGATACAGAAAGATTATTTTTAAACAAAGGATGCAGTTCTGGCAAATGGCTATAGAAAAGTACCCAGCATGGTGGGTTATAGGAATCGGTGTCAGAGAAATGCCTGTTTCTACTCCAGAAACACACCTATAAGGTTGAAAAAGTCTCAGTCTCTATGTCTTGATGAGAGGAATGAAAAACAAAACCTAGTAATGGTGTGTTAGGACACATTTATGATGTAAAGCAGAATCAATAGCTAGCAGGGCACATGGAACACAGTAAGTGCTCAATAGATGTATTAGCAATTTCAAATTTGCTTTCCCAGTTCTAAAGCACCACGTGGACTTCAGAGAAATCATACAGATTTAAAAGTATGCAGGGGTTCTAATAAATACCAATTTCAGAAACAATGAAACCAGAAAAAGTCTGCTACAGTCAATGTTGTCATTACAATAAGAATGCAGTCATTAAAGGGGGAAGAAAAGAGAGAAAGACATTCCACTTTTTAGCCATGCTAATTCTACTTCTTTATTCTTGCTCTGTTTTAATAATAATCAGAAATACACAGCACATTTGATGCACTAGACACTGTTTTACTGGTTCACATATATTAACAATATATATGAAGTAAGTACTGTTATTACCCCCTCTTACAGATGAAGTAACCTTATGGCAGAAAGTGAAGAGGAACTAAAAAGCCTCTTGATGAAAGTGAAAGATGAGCGTGAAAAAGTTGGCTTAAAGCTTTACATTCAAAAAACTAAGATCATGGCACCTGGTCCCATCACCTCATGGGAAATAAATGGGGAGACAGTGGAAACAGTGTCAGACTTTATTTTGGGGGGCTCCAAAATCACTGCAGATGGTGACTGCAGCCATGAAATTAAAAGATGCTTACTCCTTGGAAGGAAAGTTATGACCAACCTAGATACCATATTAAAAAGGAGAGACATTACTTTGCCAACAAAGGTCCATCTGGTCAAGGCTATTGTTTTTCCAGTGGTCATGTATGGATGTGAGAGTTGGACTATGAAGAAAGCTGAGCACCGAAAAACTGATGCTTGTGAACTATGGTGTTGGAGAAGACTCTTGAGAGTCCCTTGGACTGCAAGGAGATCCAACCAGTCCATCCTGAAGGAGATCAGTCCTGGGTGCTCATTGGAAGGACTGATGCTGAAGCTGAAACTCCAGTACTTTGGCCACCTCATGCGAAGAGTTGGCTCATTGGAAAAGACCCTGATGCTGGGAAGGATTGGGAAGAAGGGGAAGATAGAGGATGAGATGGCTGGATGGCATCACCGACTCAATGGACATGAGTTTGAGTAAACTCCGGGAGTTGGTGATGGACAGGGAGGCCTGGCGTGCTGCAATTCATGGGGTCGCAAAGAGTCAGACACAACTGAGCGACTAAATTAAACTGAACTGAACTGAACAGATGAATTCGCTGTACCACAGAGAGGTTAAGTAGCTTTCTCACAGCCACACAGCTGGTGAGTACTGGTGATACAGGGTTTGCACAGGATGGATCTAGAATTTCTGCCCTTCA